AAAAGAATTTGTTGTAGCTTCGTCCACCATTGACGTCAACTACACCGTTCTTGTTAATCCGAACACTTCTGTTGACGACGGGGTCGTACCACTCACACTTGAAGATAACACATTTCAAACCCATACCTGGGAATTGAACTTCATAAATCTCCTGCAAGATCCCGTAGAAATCTGTTTCGCCTTTCACACATATTCCATAATTACTTGTCGCCCGGTGTCTACCATAGTCATAGGTATGAAAAGTATAGCCTCGGTTGAAATACATCGATGATGTAGTGACCTTTGCAACTGGACCTTGAAGTAATTCGCGAAACCATGCGGGATACTGAGGATCGTCATAATCAACCTGCAACAAAGAGTAATATAACTAAACATATTAGACTTAAATTGTGGTAATGTATGCATAAAATTTAAGTAATAATAAATACATGTTTCCTCAACCACTTGATAAAGTGTTGATCTTTCCTTTTGTCTAACTCAAGTGTCGATATACCAGGTATTGCTTCCTCGACTTGAGTCACAAATTGGCTGTAAAATCATATATGTTATGTTATATATTTAATATTGAAAATAGATCTATATATATATATATAAGTGTGTATGTTTATATATTTACCTTTCAAAATAAGAAATCAATGGATGCTCGCAATTAAGAAGAATATAAAGGTGTGCACTATGGACGTCTTCATCACTCGACCACCAAACCTCTTTCAATTTTCCACCCAATCGCCCAATTTGACAAAAGATGTCTGGAACATCGTCTTCCATATATGTCGGCACGACACCACCATCATCATATCTTCTTGGAGCTCATTTCCTTGTACGTACTTTCGGTGCAAAGTAGTACGATGTGAAATGTGATGTTTCTTCCGTCAAACTTCCCGCAACAATAGAACCTTCAACTCTTGCTAGGTTTTTGGCTTTTCCTTTCAAAGTTTTCATGGCCCTTTCATACTGATACATCCATCCATAATACACAGGTCCACGAAGTAATGCCTCATACGGGAGGTGGACAACTAGGTGTTCCATGACGTCGAAAAAAGTAGGTGGAAATATTTTCTCCAAGTTGCAGATTAAGACAGGGATGTTTTCATGAAGTTGTTGGACAACTTCCACTTTAAGAGTGCGGGTGCTCAGATCCCTAAAAATGCTCCAATTCCTGTATATTTACAAAAACCAACATTATCCACATTAGTATATATATATATATGTATAATCATATCATCGTATTATATTAATTAATTACATGAAAGTGCTTCATGTACTTTTGTCGGTAGTAGCTCCGCAAACGCAAAAGGAAGTAGTCGCTGCATGAAGACATGACAATCATGGCTCTTCATCCCAGAGAACTTTTGCCCTTTCTCAACACATCTTGAGAGATTTGAAACATACCCATCAGGGAACTTCACTTCTGAAGCCACCCAGTTGAACAACGCAGACTTTGTATCTGATGACAGTCTGAATATTGGAACTGGAACTTGCCCATTGCTTTTTATATGTAGCTCACTCCTTGAGCAGATATCGGGTAAGTCTAACCTCGATTTTACGTTGTCTTTCGTCTTCCCTGGGACGTTCAATATAGTGTTCACGATGTTCTCAAAAAAGTTCTTCTCTATATGCATCACATCGAGGTTGTGGCGCAAAAGAAGATCTTTCCAATATGGAAATTCCCAAAATATACTCTTTTTGTGCCAATTGTGCTGAACACCATAAAAATCAGACATATTACTAGGAACATGCCAATTCCCACCACGAGGAGCTGTTTCTAGAGCACAGTAGTAATCGATTTGCGCTTCGATTTGTTCTCCAGTTAAATATGGAGGAGGAGTGTCTCTGACAACCCTTTTGTGCCTGAACAATTTCTTGTTTCTTCGGTATGGGTGGTGGATGGGAAGAAATCGACGGTGACAATCGAACCAA